ATTTTGTGTTTATATATAGTATAGATTATAATACAAATTAGATTACACAATTTTATAATATTAGAATAGAATTTTAACCCAGAATTATAGTGCGAATGAGAAAGTAGAAAACAATATATTTTATTAGGAAGAGAGATTTTTTAGGAATTGTGCGGGAATTTAAAGTTCAGGATTTTGTTTTTATATATATAGTATAGATAGTATAGATTGTATTACACAATTTTATAATATTATAACATTTAACGTCGGATTTATAACGTCGGTTGTTTATAAAATCGACGTTAAAAGTCAAATGAATTAATAAAATATTAAAAAAACATTTAACATCGGTTTTTAATTACAAATCGACGTCTAAAATCAATAATTAAAAATAATAAAAATAAAAAAGACATACGACGTCGGTTAATTAAATAACCGATGTCATATGTAATTTCTTTTTATTTAAAGATTTTTTAAATCATATATAACGTCGGTTAGGCATTACACCGACGTCGTATTTGGTTAAATTTCTTTTTAAATATTAAATTCCCTAGGGCTTATTCCAAAAAACATAAACGCAGGCATCGAACCTCGAAACAGAAACCCACCCCCTCCATATTCTTTTCGTCTCTCCGCATTACCGCTGCAACCAAGGCCACCGTCTACCTTCTTTCTTCTTCTTCTCTCTGCCGCACAACCACACCGCTCACCGCCGGACAGCAGCACAGCCGCACACTCGCGCCGCCTGACAGCCTCACTGCCTCACCGCTGCACAGCGGCACCGCCGCCACGACCTACCTTAGCTTGTGAGTTTTGTATATTTTTGAAATATTGTTTCAATTTTTGAATTTTTGGAATTTGACAATAATTATTTAATTACATTTGGAATTATTGATTAATGTATTTCGAATTTTAGGGTTTATTCAGTACATATTTTGAATTTTATAAGTTATTGTATATATATTTTGAATTTTTGGAATTATCGTGTGTGTGTGTGTGTGTGTATATATATATATATATATATATATATATATATATATATATATATATATATATATATATATATATATATATAGTATTTTAGGATGATTGTTATTATATATTGAATTATTGTTAATTTATTTCAAATTTTAAGAATTATTGTACTATTGTCCTACATTATCAAGCCAACAAGCAGAATCTGCCAGTTCTTCTGGCGTTAAAGGAAGAGGAAGAGCATCGACTACTATGAGGGGGAGAGGGAGAGGGAGAGGAAGTGGAAGAGGAAGAGGGACAAACTTGTCTTAGGAAAGCTTTGTGGGAATGTCAAGGTAAATAAATTGAACATAATGCATATCTAAATAATTCATGTATGTAGATGGATGTTAGCAGTTTATGATTAATTGGCAATGCTTTCTTCTTTTCTGTAGCTTGCACAGAGTGAAGCTCAATGGGACCATGAAAGCAGATGAACATTGATGGAGTCGATTCTTCTCTTTTTTTTTTTTTTTTTTTTTTTTTGGGTGTGTTAACTAGCTAGTGTTTATAGCTATTGTGTATGTACGATGTAGTCTTTTAACTAGCTAGTGGATTATGCATTGGGAGTTTATTTTGTTTTGTTCTTGGTAATGGCTATTGGTTTTTTTTTTTTTTTTTGACAATTTAAATTAGTAACCTGATTTCATTTTAAATTTCACTTGGCAGTTGTTTAGTTGTTGACAGAGTGAGTTCCATTTTTGGTCCTACTGTTATAGGTGCGTTTCCAATTTTAGTCCACCTTAATTTTTTTTTGCCACTTTATGACCACTATTATTGAATGTGTTCCACTTTTAGTCCCACCGTTAGTATTTCCATCAAAAGGCCGTGTAATCTAGGGGTATTTTGACCTTTCTTCTCATCCAAGACTATGTTTGACTAAAGAAATGAGAACATTAAACCTAAAACCTAAGAAACCTCGCCGGCCCATGTTGGAACGAACGAAACGATGTAGCTTTGGCTTCCCATTCTCGTTGTTCGAAGAGCCATCTTCGATTATCGGAGGAGGACGACGAAGCGCCTGGATTAAAAGAGAAGAGACAAACATAAAAAGACCAAAATACCCTTTGATTATACGGTCTCTTGACGGAAATATTAACGGTGGACTAAAAGTGGAACACATTCAATAACAGTGGTTGTAAAGTGGCAAAAAAAATTAAAGTGGACTGAAATTGGAAACGCCCCTATAACAGTAGGACCAAAAATGGAATTCACTCTTGTTGACAATCTAAATGGTTTTATGTGGATGAGTAAGCAATATACATTCAAAGTGCTCGTGGATATATTTATGTGGGAAAAATACTAAACAAAAAAATAGCATTTCTATAAATTAGAAAAACTGGGAAAATACTGAACAAAAAATTAGCCAGAAAAATTATAAATTCTGGAAAAAAATATGAAAAGTGAAACATTGGAATTGAAAATTTTAAAAAGTATAAATTATGAAAATAAAGAGAAGAACATTTTGATTTTTTTAATATAATAGTTTTGGTTTTTTTAATTTTAAATATGTAAACGCTTACGTAGATAATATAAGGTTAAAAGAAATGCCACATCATGTGCCATGTCAGCAGGAAGACAAGGAAACCTGCTAAAAGTTCTAGGTGAATTTTTATTTATTTATTTATTTTTGTGGCTTGATATATACGATATGAAAGTTCAGGGTGCGGGATGAAAAATCAAATATAGTTCATGGTGCTAGATGACACTTTAGCCTATTATTTTGGATCATTTTGACTGTTTGGTCCTAGACTTATTTGGCGTTGGACAGTTTTGGTCCTTCATAAAAAAATTTGCCAATTTGTAGCCACGCTTATGGGTTATTGGATACTTTTAGTCCTCCGTCACTTGTGCCGTTTGTTGACCGTGAAAGTGAAGGGCATTTATGTCTTTTTAGTATTCTCCTCCTAATTTTCCCTAAGCAGATCACAATATCACATCATAGGCTCAGTGGTTGTCCACATAGTCAGATTTCACGATCAAAACAGAGTGGGAAAAATCATAAACTAGAATGGTGTGTCTCGGGAAAGTAGATATGAAAAGTTGCTGCATGGGATTTTGGATACCGGAGGAGGAAAACCGACTTCTAGGACTTTGCTTTGCTTGGAATTCGGACTTTGCTAGTCCGATTTCATTTTTTTTTTTTGTTGCAATTTTTTGCATTTTTTGTTTACGGAAAAGAAAAAGACTTTCTTTGATGGTAATTTGGACTCCCCTAGTCTGATTACTAATTTTTTATTTTTTTTTACTTTTTTGTTTGCCGAAAGAAATGGAGTAAAGGAATGACGATTAGTATGATTTAACAATAATTAGCTTGTTTTAATTGAAAATAAAGCAGTGATTTAGCAGTAATTAGTAATTACAATATATAGGAAAATTTTGGATAATTATAAATAGAAACAAAGAATTATTTTTTTAAAGGGAAAATGACACTTTTTCTCCCTAAGTTATATATTTATAGCATTTTTTCCCCTCAATTATTTATGTAAGCACATTAGTCCCCTCAATTATTTTAAAAGTGGTGGTTTTTCCCCTAATATATTAAATTGACATTTCTACCTTTAAAGTAAACATTTTATTTATTTTACTTCTCCAACAAATTATTACGTATATGTAGCGATTAGCACGGTTCGGTTCGAACTGAACCAGACACTATAGCAATCAAATTAAAATTTTTTGGTTATGATTCAGATCTAGAACTCAATATTTGGATTTCAATTTATTAAATTTAAGAATAAAAAAAATGGATCATGAACCGTGAATCGGCAGTTCCGGACCCGGTTCGCGATTTTGAACCGTCTTTATTTTAAAATTTTATTTTTTATTTTAAAATAGACTAAATTCAACAATAAATGTATTTTATTTTTCAGTTCGGAACATGAACAGGCCATTCCGGTTCACGATTTTAATAAACTCTAAATATCGCGTTTTGATTATAAATTGTAATTGGAATATTTTGGTTTGGTTGCTATAGTATCTGTTTGGTTTGAACCAAATTATAGTAATAATTTGTTGGAGAAGAAAAATAAATGAAATATTTATTTTAAATATTTATTTTAAGAATAAATATGTCCATTTAACATTTCAGGGGAAAAAAAGCCACTTAAATAATTCAGAAGGAAAAAATGCTATAAGTATATAATTCAGGGGGGAAAAAATATCATTTTCTCTTTATTAAATAATCAATTAAATGTCACAGGTGGTACATGGGTAATGTAAAAAGGGGGAAATGGGTTATTAAAAGGACAGTGTCAGCCTGTCAGGAGGGAAGGGGTTATTAAAAGCAGGAGAGAGAGAGATTCGGTCTTGGGGAGACCGACTCTCGTTTTCAGAAAGTCGGGCTCCCCAAGTTCGGTTTTCCCTTTTTCGTGGCAAGTTATTTTCGTATCCACTCGACAAATTCTGCACCGCAGGCAAATCCACCCGGGAAAATCACGGTCAGAACAAAGTGGGAAAATGAATGATAGGTCTTCTCCGGTGGTGGAGGCGGTTGTAGTAGCGGAAGTGGAGGTCTTCTCTGGCGGTAGCAGTCGGTGGCAGCTGTGGCGGTTGCGGCAGTGAATAACGGCAACAGCAAAGAGATCCTCTGGGATAAATCTCTTTCCTAAGCAGATCATAGCATGGGCGATTCTTTCTCCAGAAACAGATCAGAAGGAGATCCATCGCCTCTGGTCTTCGCTCTCTCTTTCTCTCCCTCGTCCACGAGCAGGTCTTTGTGCAAAGTAGGGTTTGTTTCAACTCATACCTTTGTGCAAAATAGGCAAATCTCACGAAAGTAAAAGCTTCAGTGTTCAAAATAGGCAAATCTCAAGAAATTAGGCGTGGGCGAAGAAGCAGAACGATAATGGACAGCCGGGTTCGAGTAGGAAATAGGCAACGTGATTGACGGGCGATTCCCTGAAGAAATCGAAGTAGATGACGGTGGCAGTGGTGGTTTTTACTATGGATGTCGATGGCTAATTGATGTAGTCTGGAGACTGTAAGCGTCTCTGGGAATCAACAATCATAAGCTTTCAATTTCATGGTCTCGGGTTCTGCCAAGTTAGAACCACATATGCTTATTTCCTCTTTGATTTCTCTCCTTAAAAACATTAAAAAAAAAAAAAAAAAAAAAAAAAAAAAAAAAAAAAAAAAACTGTTATCATATCATCTAAATCCTAATCATTAGTTGTTACATATATATATGCTGAAGAAGGAAGACATGGAAACATTAACTGGAAAGGGATCAACTACTACAAAAACCTCATTGACTCTCTCTTGTTCAAAGGTTTTGTCCTAATTGCTTGCAACCTGCAATTCCTCACAAATCATTATATTGTTTTTCAAGATTTAATAACCCATCGAAGGTCGCCAGATTTGAGGCGGAGAAAGGCATAGACGACAGAGCTGGACTGATGAAGAAGACTACTGGAAATGACAAAAACACCCTTCATTTTGACAGTGAACAAACAGAGAAGTTGACGAAGGACTAAAAGTGTCCAACGATCAATAAGCGTGGCTACAAATTGGCAAATCTTTTTATGGTGGACCAAAACTGTCCAACGCCTAATAAGTCTAGGACCAAAAAAGGAATTGACTCATAGTTTTATGTGGATGAGTAAGCAATATACATTCAAAGTGCTTGGGGATATATTTATGTGGGAAAAATACTAAAAAAAAAAATAGCATTTCTATAAATTAGAAAAACTGGGAAAATACTGAACAAAAAATTAGCCAGAAAAATTATAAATTCTGGAAAAAAATACGAAAAATGAAACATTGGAATTGAAAATTTTAAAAAGTATAAATTATGAAAATAAAGAGAAGAACATTTTGATTTTTTTAATATAATAATTTTGGTTTTTTTAATTTTAAATATGTAAACGCCTACGTGGACAATATAAGGTTAAAAGAAATGCCACATCATGTGCCATGTCAGCAGGAAGACAAGGAAACTTGCTAAAAGTTCTAGGTGAATTTTTTTTTTTTTTTTTTTTTTTGTGGCTTGATATATACGATATGAAAGTTCAGGGTGCGGGATGAAAAATCCAATATAGTTCATGGTGCTAGATGACATTTTAGCCTATTATTTTGGATCATTTTAACTGTTTGGTATGGCTTAAGAAGCTTAGCATTTCGGTTTCCATTGGTTGTAACGCAGCCCTTCCGGAACAGTGTATGTATCCTTTAGGACTGAAGAAGTTGAAGTTGAGTGGGGTTAATATTTTTGAGAGGGATTTAAATGTAATGCCATGTTACCCAAGCTTATGGTGCTCAAGTTGGAAAATTCCTTCCATGGAGCTGTATGGAAAGTTGCAGAAAGAAGATTTTCTGAATTAAGATTCTTGCTCCTTGAAACTAAAGAACTCAAGCAGTGGGTAGTTGGCCATAAGCACTTTCCGATGCTCAGACACTTAGTTTTAAGATCGTGTTATTGTTTGGAACATATGCCAAAGGATCTTAATGGTCACATGTTGGAGACAATTGAGTTGGAGGGTTGTAAATCTTCCCTTGTCGCTTCTGCCCAGCAATTTCAACAGAGTAGAAGATACATTGATTTTGAGGTTGGAAGCCTCTTAATTTTTATTTCTTTTCTATCAATGCTGCGCTGTCATTCTTATGTACTAAATCAGTAACTTTTTTTTTTTTAATCTGATTTCATTTTTTGGATTATTTTTCACAGATCAAAATTATAGACCTTGAACATGATGAATCACTGAATAAACATACAAAGGTGTGTATTTTATTTATTTATTTGTTGCATTAATCTTTTCACTGCAAACAGGGTAGTGAGGGGAACTTGTATTGGTTTAAAGCGACTTGAATTGGAGGCAAAGGTACTGCATTGTCGTTTTTTCTTATGATGAATGTGTATTTGTATAAAATGGAATTGAAAGAGCTTATGATATTCAATAAAATCTCAAGTATCCAAAGTAAAATTGAATTTGAGTAGAGGGCATATATAAATGTTAATTAGTGTTCTGTTAGATTCTAAAAATATCAATTTGGAATAGTTCCCTTGGTGTTTAACGTACAAAAAGTTAAGGTCAAGAAAATTAGATCGGATTCGCCATGTTGGAGATGAATGCATGTTAAGTTGATTATTAGGGCTTCAGAATCTGAATTATTTGCCACAATGCCTTTGACATCAATAAATTGAAATTGAAGATAACTACTTCTTTCTTTACCTTGGAGTGAATTGAAATAAATCAAATCGGTAAGGCACTGACGGAAATTTTAGTAAGCTAAAATTCTTGTTCCTAGCTCGTTGGTTGGAAATTTCATAAAGAGGAACAATTTTTGTGCTGTCTTGAGCATATATTTAGTCTTTAAAAGATGTTCAAGTTTGGAAATGATTCCAACTAGCTTTGAAGAGATCATTGAATGTAGTCATTTATTAGTCAATTGAGTTAAAAACTTGATCCCCTTCTGTTTTGACTTCGGCCAATAAAATTAATGATATGACGCTCGATAGAAAATTTATGAATACAACCATACCCCATTGCAATTTGTCATGCATGGTCTGTCTCTTCTCTTTCACTGCTTTTTTAAGATAATTTTTTAAATTTATCCTTAATTGCTTTTTGTCATTTGATTTAATGACAGTGCAGTGGGACAAATAGGAGTTGAAGATGGTGACATTTTTCCCTGAATAAATGAATGGTATGCATGTGTTGCTACATACCTTCGTTTGTTTCCCATGTATTTGCACTTAATTAGTTGCATATTTGTATAGTAATACTTGTGATTCTGTGAGTGATGAATTTATGGGTTAATTGATCTACATTCTAGTCCTAACATTAGGAACACATCTATCAATCATCACTAGAATTTTTTATTTTCATTTTTAGAAAATGACTAAAATAAAAACCTATGTAACAAAAGAGGAATAGTAATATGTTATTATATTGTTAATAGTATTGGGGTCAACCATCACTAGATTTTTATTTTTCATTTCTACACAATTAGCTTTGTACCTTTTGATACATATCATGCTTGATTTGTGTATTACTTGTTTCAACAGGCCGGGATGGAAATGAGTTGCAATGTGGTCAATTAAATTTGTAGTATTGGAGTGTGCATGCTTTTGGTGATTAATAAATGAATTGGAGACCAATTCAATGCAGACAAAAGGTGTACAACAAATTCCCTAACATTAAAAATCTGAAAATTTTCCTAAAGGGTGACATAGAGCCTAGTCACATTATTGGAGGATGTTGCAACAATCCTATTATTTTGGATCATTTTGACTATTTGGAAGGGTTTGAAAAGCTTAGCATTTCGGTTTCCATAGGTTGCAATGCAGCCCTTCCAGAACTGGCTAGGTTTCCTTCAAGACTGAAGAAGTTGAAGTTGAGTGAGACTAATATTTCTGAGGAGTATTTATATGTAATTGGCAAGTTACCCCATCTTAAGGTGCTCAAGATGGAAAATGCCTTCCATGGAACAGTATGGAATATATATAGCTTAGGGAGGATTTCATGAATTAATATTCTTGCTCCTTGAAGCTAAAGAACTCAAGCAGTGGGTACTTGGCTCCTGGTAACTCTTTTTTGCGCTCAGACACTTAGTCTTAAGATCATGTAATTGTTTGGAACATATGTCAAAGTGTTTTAAAGGTTACAAGTTGGAGACAATTGAGTTGGAGGGATGTCACTCTTCCCTTGTCGCTTCTGTCAAGCGGTTGAAACAGATGGAACGTTCCTTAAATCTTGAGGTTAGAAGCTATATGTCTTTCAATTTTTAACTTTTAGGACGACTTTGGCAGCCTCACAGTATATAACAGTTAGAAAATGGTATGTGTTAGGTTACAAGTGTTGATGTGTATATAACAGTTAGAAACTAAAGAGTTACTTAGTCTTAATTTTTTTATTTCTTTTCTATTTAATGCTGATTTTTTTTTAATAATAAAAATCAGTTACTATATATTTCTTTTCTTGCTCTGATCTCATTATCCCACTTTCTGCATTGTGTTTTCATAGATCATGTTAAACAATGAACTCAACTTATATATATTTTTATATGTTCCGTGTGTAGATGTACAAGGAAATATGGAGCTATTTATATAAGACAAAAACTAATCCTAGCCATAGATTTCAAACACCTAAAACTAAGGATGGTGTATTCAATCATGACTTTCATAGAGTTTTAAAGACTTTTATGAACTTTAAAAGTTTGGAGGTATTCAATTCAAACTATTAGAGAGTCTTTAAAAGTCAGGCGGTATTCAATCAAGATTTTTAAAGAGTCTTTAAAAGTCGTGTGGTATTCGATTAAGACTTTTAAAGAGTTTTTAAAAGTCATGTGGTATTCAAAAAGTTATGAACTTTTGTAGATTTTTTAATTTTAAGACTTTTGCAGACTTTTCCTTCTCAAATATAAATAGTTGAAATCCAACCATTAACCCCAAGATTTCAAAATTTTCTTTGTTACAACTTTGAATGTTTTCTCTCTCTATTAAAACTCTATATTTTTCTCCCTATTTAAACTTTATAAACCTGTCTAAATTCAATAAAATTATTTTTTTCTTCATTATCCTATATTTTCCTCATACCTAAACTCTACTAATTTTTCTCTCTCTCTCTCCTAAACTTTACAATCTTCATCTAAAAATTTGAAATAATATTATTTTTACTTCATTATTGCTTGTTTATATTGATTTTTATTTTTTCTATGAATTTTGTATCCCTAACTTTCTCTAATTCCCTCTAAATACATGAACAAAGCAATTTTTTCATTGTCAAATTTTTGTATATGTTTCATAATATTCATATAAATACTTATATATTTTGTTTTTTATTCTTTTTATGCTTATATTCGTAATATATATTTTTCCTTTTTTAACAATAGGTTACTATGAATAGCGAACTACTGTTCGCCATAACAATTTGGGGTTGCACACAGTAGCACCTTGTTGCTGTTCGCAGTCTCAAATTGCTATTGCAAATAATAGTACTTTGCGTGATAGATGCCTAGCAATATATCAAGTATAATTTATATATATATATATATATATATATATATATATATATATATATATATATATATATATATATTAATATTAGATTTTTATTTTTTTATTTTAGGAAACTTGTAATTATATTTTTAAATATTTTATTTTAAGAAAATATTATAAGAAAACTTGTAATTATATTTTAAGAATTGATCAAATAAAATATTTAAAAATATAATTACAAGTTTCCTAAAATAAAAAAATAAAAATCTAATATTAATATATATATATATATATATATATATATATATATATATATATATATATATATATATATATATATATATATATATATATATATATATATATATATATATATATATATATAGGATTATATTCAAATATAAACAGGTCTTATACAAACGTGTGGATTAATTAAGATCATAAGATCTTGGAATTGGATGGATAGGATTTATTTAATTAGTTTTGCATATTTTAATTTACCAAGCGCCTGTTTTTAGGTTAGTAGGGGTAGTTTTGGGTTTTGACTATTGTTTTAATTGCATTAAATTATTGGGATTCAATCAACACTAGGAAGTTTATTTTACACAAATCTCTCCCTCTCTCTGTTCGTCGTACGGTTGTCGAAGACATGCCTCCCACGCTATTAGATCCAGATTCTTCATCAGCGGTGGACGATGGTCGTCGATGGGGGCCGAAGTGGAGCCAAGCGGCGGGGACCACCAAATCAGAGTGTAGATCGAGGTATTTCTTTTGTACCCTTTTGCCGTTTTCGGAGGTTTTTGCTGTTTGTATCCTCTTGTTTTTTTTTTGTTCGGTCGGTGTCATTTGTTGGGGGGGCTATTTTTCTGTGTTCGTGTGTCTGGGGAGGGAGGGGTTGCGGGGGACGGTGGTGTATTTGCTCGACGGCGGGATTGGGGGGAATTTAGTTCATTTCGGGATTTTTTTTTATTATTATTCATCATTCTCTGCACTATAGGCTGCTCTAATAACTTCAAGAAATTGGTGAGATTAGGGATGAAAAAGAAAGTGAATAGGATAACTTAGGAATAATGGATTAAGAACTAACATAAACCACATTTTCCTCCCCAGCAGCAATAAACAATTCATTACTACGCATGGAGACCTGCAAAGTTGAACATATATATGAGAAATTAATTAATATTTATGAAATTAATTAAGAGAAATTAATTAATATAACACTACGCATGGAGACTTGCAAAGTTGAACATATATAAGAGAAATAAATTAATATTTATGAAATTAATTTAGAGAAATGAGTTAATATAACAGTCTTTGGGATAACATATAGTCATTTATTTAGTTGCACGTGCACAGAGTTTAACGCATACGTGCACAATCTATTTCTTCGCTACGTGTATAACCTAATTAAATTTATATATCCTGTGTTTACACACAGTTTGGCCCCAAAGTGCACATATCTATTCTTTTACTAATTGTATAAGCTAATGATGATAGCAACTTTTTAAAGTTGTGTTGGCTAGTGCACACCGTAATGTAGTTGTGCACACACATGTATTTATGCACTAAGGGTATAGGCTGGTATTGAGCATGTCACTTGTGCCAAATTTATGTACTCATTATCCATGGTTGAAATTTGACTGTATGCTCATGCATATAGTTAAGTAGTCAGTTATGTGAATTTAACTTAGTTATTATCAATCGGTGAAATTTGTTTAGTTGTCCATGTGCACAGTTTAACCACATACAGTGTGGTCATTTATTTTGTTCTATTCGACATTTGTGTTTGTGAATTTGTTGTGTGTGTGGTGCAGTTATAGTGTGTGCAGTTAATTCGTATTGCTGAATTGGGTTGATTTACTTAGTTATGGTAGGTTGTGTAGTTTGGTATAGGTTGCACAATCTTTTTTGGCTTATTTATTGTCGTATTCTAAAGTTGGTTGCATTTGGAATAAGTGTGTTCATGTTTTGGTATGTGTGTGTGTTCTCCTGTTGGGTTTTGTAGCATTGTATATTTGCAAAATTTTTTGTTGGTTGGCGTTATATGTGGTCATTGTTGCTCGTCTAGTGGTCTAGATGTGTGTGTGGTTGGATTTTTGTGTTGTTTTTCCCAGGTAAGAAGTATAAGGTTCCAAGGTTCGGACTTTGTTTCTCCGCCAAAGGCCTTTCTTGAAAGGTTGCAAGAAGATCCCGTGTAGGATGCCCTAGATAATGAGCTGACGGTGGAAGAGGTTTCAAAATTTCCTAGGGTCAAGACTCGTTCGCTGATTCAATGCATGAAGGAACTCACAGTTTCTAAATTCAATGCACATAAATCTCGAAGTTTATGTTGGGCGTACCAGTATATCAGTGATCCTCTCGCTTCTTCCTAGAAATGTTTTTCCCACTATGTCGTTTTGTCGATTTAAGTTTCTCGTTGACTACAATTCACGCTATAGAATTGTGTTTGCCCGTTTATAATTATGACTACAGGCTTCTCGTATGGTATTTATGAAAGGAAATTCAGAATCAAGCTTTTGGATCTAATTCCTCTCTTGAATATGAACTTTGCCCACCTTTGGATTCAAGTTTTTTTTTTTCCCTGTGAATAAGCAAACTAGAGTACTATACAGTATTACTGTTATGTTACTGTTCCAGACATCACCTGATTTTCAAAACACAATTTTCCTTCCCAAAAGAACAATATTCTAAATCATATATAGTAAAGTGATAATACATAACATGGAAAATGATGTCAACAACATTAGCCTATAAAATGTATAATGCCAGATTTCATCAAACCTCACTTTACTAACCTTTGGTCTGTAAACTTGTGGACTTTGTACCTTGCCTTTCGCGCAGTATGATTCGGTGACCAATTATGGTGATGATTCGGACAATTCCCTTGGGGGTGCACCTGCTTTTAGGCGATCGTGCACACGAGTGTGCACGGTGATGCTTTGTGTGCACAAATGCTCGCTGGGTGCAGTGTATGTATTTCGTTACCGCGTGTAAATTGTTTGTGCACACTCTCTTACACAAGTGTGTTGTCGTCGGTGACCAAGTGGAATACCCACACGCTAGTTCGACGCATGGTATCCTTCGAATTTATGTCATTCATGCCCAATAGGTAGACTATCTCGGCCTTGTGTGCACCTATACCCATCTTAGTGTGCACTTTAATCCATTACTACTACTGCCGCTGTCTCCAATAATTATTAAAGTTGCAACTGTAGTTCTCAATTTATTCAACTAACAAATACTTCAATTAACCAACATTTCCATGTCTATTTATTAAACTTTCTAGCAACTATAAAAATGTTTTCGTTCTCTCCTCTTAAATCTATGACATTCTAGTCTTCTGATGCTTCTATTTTGTTTGGACAATTGCGGGTATCATGGCCTACGCCTCACATATAGCGCACGTCCTTACCTTTTTTTCTTCTTCGCCGTTTTTTTTTTCTTTAGTGCTCTTGCGTCTCCTCCCACTACCTTTGTTCTTCACAACTTTGGGTTCTTTAATGCGTATCTCTACAGGTGCCATTGCGCCGAATATAGATTCAATGACTATTTGGTTGTTGCCACACTTGTAAACGGAACAAATACTAGCTTGTATCTGCAATTTAAACCGTGTTGAATAATTAGTGCACACACTAACGCTTTGACATGCACACAGTATTAATAGGTAGCACCCAACACAGTATACATTTAAAACAACATGATCCAATTTCAGACCATATATCAAAGCCATCTGTCGCTTATATTGCAATGTCTCCAATTAGCTTATGCTATTGCACATATTAATATATTGGGGGCACACAGTAACGAAATATGGTACCAAAACACAGTTCATAAATATATTGGGGGTCTACGTACGCCTGTTTATATATTTTAATTCTACGCATTTCTTAGACAACTCCTACTATAATTACACTTCCTAATTTTTTGCGTAATATCCGTATGAAGTTTAATCCATAATTGCATTGTTAATGAATTGGCATAATTACCCTTTTTTCCACTAAAATAGAATCTTAATTTAATTTAATCCCCGACATCTAATCCGTCCATCTGCACTTATCCTATGGCTAGATTCTGTCCTCATGTTTGTATTTTAAGGGTGTTTGTATGTGAATATAATCCTATATATATATATATATATATATATATATATATATATATATATATATATATATATATATATATATATATATATATATAAATAAGTAATTAGCATTTTCTTTAAGAATAAGTAATTAGCATATAAGTCTCAGCATACTAGGGACAAAAATAATAATCTTGAGAATGTTGATGTGGGTGAAGAACTATATAATAAGAAGAATTTTATGATATATTATAAATGCTTTGTAAGAAAATTATAAATGATAAGAATCAAAATCATTGAAAGTTTGTAAGGATGTATTCAATTTAGAATTTCAATGACTTTTGTAGACTTTTTAAAATAAAAAGTTGATAAAAGTCTATCAATGTTTTTTATATAAACTTTTACAGAGTCTTATAAAGTTTTAAAAAGTTTTAAGCGACTCTATGAAAGTCAATCAAAGTTTATTAAAATCTATCATTTTAAAAGTCTTTAAAACTCTACAAAAGTCATGATTGAATACAACCCCCCTAAGGCTAAGAAAGATCCTCTCAACTAACACCCTATTCCTCTAAAACTCCCCCTCAAGTTGGAGCATTCAACTTGTTACATATGTATCACATGAACCATAGGACTCCACACCTAGACTCATAACTTCCAAGGCTAACGCCCAAGTCTTGAACCACTCGAACAACCTTCGATCCACGTTGTGCCAAACCAGTCCACAACGCACCTTGTCGCACCAACAACGCTTCTACGGAGCCACAAAAACTAGGCCAATCACCACAGCGCCGCACCTGCCTCTCACACCCCACACCCTTATCACCGCTGCCTAACACCACAGCGTACCTGCCTCTCACTCCACAAACCATTAGCGCTGCTAGACCATAGTGCACCTGTCCCTCTCACAACGCACCCTTATCAATGCTGCCTAACACCACAACGTTTCCCTGGTGCATGCACGTAAACCGATTCACTCTGAATCATTCTTCAGCCGTCGACCTCCCCCGCGACATATGCCAAGCCCGCCCCACTCCTGGCACCTGTGCTGCCCACTCTTGCAGCACCACTGTTTACGCACACTGAACAAGCTGCACTTGACTCAACTCAGACCCTAGAATTGCTCCCATACCAAATTAACTTAAAGCGACAAACTATGATAAACAAAACACAAAGCTCAATACTTATTAATACGATAAACAAAAGAACCTACTGCCTAATTATTCCTCGTCAGCAGCACAAACCTAACCACACAATTTTATTTTGTAGCCATGAGACCACCCAGCTTCGTGGACAGGCCCGGCCTTGGGCAAGGGCAGGCTGGGCCCTTGCCCAGGGCCCACGCTTGGAAGGGGCCCACCGAACTATGCCATCCCTTTTATATATACTATGGATCTTATAATAATTTGATATAGCTTTATGTTAACAAAGTGGAAGTTAGTTGAGCTGGAAAGAGTTTTGGCTTCTATGATACAGATCCAGTGATCGAATCCCCTCGTTGCACCTTTTACATACTGTGTTACACGCATCATAATTTCATACATTAACAGGGCGTTTGGTTGGAGGGATTTTAAATTCCCTTCCCACCTAATTCCAAAGGCCATTAAATTCCGTAGTTTGGTTGGAGGGAATTGCAATTCCCCCATTTTCAAAGGCCATTAAATTCCGTAGTTTGGTTGGAGGGAATTGCAATTCCCCCATTTTCATGGAATTAAAATCCCATGTCCCCCCTGGTATTTTAATTCCTTGGAAAAAAAGATAGTGATGAGTCAAAATTACCCCTTCCTTTTTTAACCTAAAATTAATGTCTAACAACAATAATGGACATTTTTGACTTTATACTACTTATTCCCTTTCAATTCCCATGTATACCAAACATTGGAATTGAAATTCCCAGTAATTCTATTCCTGTCAACCAAACACTGAAATTTAAATTACCACTTTATTCCCAGTAATTCAACTCCCATGAAATTACAATTCCTTTCCCACATAATTCCCCCCTCCAACCAAACGCCATGTAATGTTTTTTAAAAAAATAGTTTTATACATTACTCTTTATTTATATTTCTAATTTGTACTCCGTATTATTTAAAATTTCATTTGTAATTTTGTGATTTTTTAAAATCTTTTTATAATTTTGTGATTTTTTTTAATCTTTTAAGATTTATAATATAGATAGATTGATTTGTGATTCATATCAAATTTTGAATCTATTTCTATTTGAGTAATTTACTACTTATATTTAAAATATGTGCTATTTTGTGAACTTTATAATGAGTTATGTATATGTAATATATTTTGTGATTTAGTTATGAAAAATATTTTTAAAAATAGTTTAGTTTTTTTTTATTATTATGAATTATCTAGGCAATATAGTTTAAAAGTCCTATTGTGCATCATAACTAAAAGGAAAAATATTTATAAATATGATAGCAATATAGAAGATGTGTTTTTTATTTGAACTACTTTATCCAATTAATTATGTATTATATTTTATTATGAATATCTTTTATCACGTTTATGGTATTTTGATTTATTTATTGCTTCCAATAATTAAGATTTTATGCTATGCTCTTATTGTAAGTTTTTTTTTAATATAAATTTTTTATTAAAAATTACTTATTATTTATTATAATAATAATGTGATTCCATATAAGCTCATTTGATTTTAAATTATTTATTCATTTTTATAAAGTGAGTATAACCAACACTTAGGGACGAAATCTATAATTATCCTAAAACTTAGGGACGAAAAGTACAATTTTTTCAATTCTTTGTTTATGAATGCACTAATGCGGTTATTGCTTATTTTGGATTTAGGAATGCATCTAGAATTATTTTCATGTATATGTACAATTGTTAAAAACTTGTGAATCTTCAAGTTAATTTGACATTATTATTTTCTCCTTATTTAATTTAAATTTTAATTATAACATATAGGGGCCCATTTTTGTTGCTATGCCCTGGGCCTATAAATTGATAGGACCGGGCCTGTTCGTGGACCTCCCTTACCATCTCTCTCGGCTGTCTCTCTTGACCAAACAGATCCTCACCGCCGTCGTCGGGGGTTATGAACCCAAACCCCTTCTGGTCACTGAACCACTTGACGCAGCCCTTCATCCTCTGTTCACTCTCCTCAGCCATATTTTCACAAACCCTACCCCTCTCTCTCTTTCTTTCTTTCTCTCTCTAGCGATTTTTCTCTCTCGCTGGTTTCTCTCTCTCGCGACCAGCAACACTCTTCAATTTCCCCAGTTGGAATTTTTGCACCACTTACGCAGCAGGAGACGAAGACATCGCAGCCATAAAAAATCTCCTCAACACCAGGCTACACCACCACTGTAGATGTGTCGGGTGTACAGAGACAAGCCCAACAGTGCAAGCCGCGACCGGAGAAAACGCCGGACCAGTGCGCACGCACCGGCACGTGGCGTCGAAACCCTAGGACTGCGCTGGCGCGTGAGAACTCCGATGGCTGTTCCGCTCCTCCCAACGGCGCCGATCAAAGCCCACTACCCAGTCACCTCAATCTCGCTTTGATACCATGTTAAACAATGAACTCAACTTGTATATATTTCTATATGTTCTGTGTGTAGATGTACAAGGAAGTATAGAGCTATTTATATAAGACAAGAACTAATCCTAGTCATAGATTTCAAACACCTAAAACTAAGGCTAAGAAAGATCTTCTCAACTAACACCCTATTCCTTTAATAGATCAAAATCCTGGGCACTTAATATGATGATGAATCACATACATAGTACCGATACAGATATATCTACATAAGACAACTTGACCAGCCTCACACTCTGATATGATCTCAGAGTGAATTATAAATGTTGTTACAAAATGGTACTTCTGAAGCTACATTACATGTATTAGCTTGCCAAATGTCCATTACCAAATTTGGAGGTTGGAAGACGACTTTGTTGGGCTTCCTTTTCTTGAGCTGATAAAACTGAAACAAGTCTCCAATGGTTCAAATTGGAAAGGCACCGACTGAAATTTCAGTAAGCTAAAATTCTTGTTCCTTGGAGCTAAAACCTTCGTTTGTTGGAAATTTAATGAAGGGGAACAATTTCTTTATCTTGATCTCTTATATTACACATTTATTATTTGATATGTATTATATGTGTTGAAAAGTTGTGCCTCTAGCTAACAGATATTGATTTGCAAGGCTAAGTATAATTCTGAAAACTTCTTCATGAGATTGATTACACTTCCATTTCAGGCATCTTGTAAGGCATCAAATCAAAGACTTTACAGTGATTCTGCCTGATTTCAAAGACAATGCTAGCTTTCAAATCCTGTAGTCAGTAGTCAGGTGATTGTTGTTTTTTTACCATTTTTTACGATACATTCAATTTGCCAACAATTCAAACTATGAAATAAAAAATGGAGAAGCTCCCAAAACTCACACCTCTTTGATGGAGCAATATACTATGATTTGATACTTGATGGATGTGTAAAAAAACATTCTTATCACTTGGTCGGGCTGTGTTTGCAGTAAATTAACAATTATTTGAAAATGGTATGTGTGAGCTAGGTAGGTTGCTTTTACATATGCATACCAAATGAAATGGAATAATATAATGGTGTTGGTTCCTCATGACTTCATCAACTGATCTTCAATTCGAAACATAGATTTCTAGTTTGGTGCTTTTCTTTCCTTGTTACTCAGTAAAATCCAAGCTTATTATTGATCATAACTGCCTTGTTTCAAGAAATGCAGTGGATATTCTTTGACAGACTAATAGTCTCTCATTTGCAGGCCATTGAAGATGACCCAATTTCACTTGTGAATTGTGCAGTAATCCATCAATTGGACAATCTTGACTGTTTGGAAGGCCTTGAGAATTGAAGCTAACGATTTTAGTTTCTGTAACCCTTCAAATCGGTCTGTGTTTCCTTTCCTACTGGAGAAGTTGAGATTGAGCAGGTTTAATCATTTTGAGAGGCATATAATGGTAGTTGGCATGTTGCTCCAGCTTAAGAGATATTCCTTCCATATCTCTGGTACTTGTGTCTAAGATTCTGCCATTGTTTGGAAGAGTTTTTTGCAGATATTTTGCTGTCAATTGAGATGAAACAGTGCAGCCCTTCTGTTGTTGCTACTGCCAAGCAGATTCAAGAAGGCTGCATTCATTATGAATTGGATTGTTTGAGGTCAGAAGCTACATCATGCTTCATTCATCATTTTTTTTTTAAATTTTCTTATACATTCTTTACAAAAGCTACTACTATTTCTTTTTCTGATCTCATTTCGTTGTCTCCATTTTCCATCGATAAAAACCGATGGGCTTGAATATGAGGAATCACCTTATCCACATGTAGAAGAGGACTTGGCCAACATCATATTGACCTAATTGCTATTAGAAAAATGGTATATACACAGATACATATCTCATGTCTGCCAATTATTTCCAACATACTTTATGATCTATTAGAAAACATGACTAGTTTTCTGGTTTCTTTTTCAAAATAATGCATTTGATATTGTTTGACAGCCAAATGTTTCTCATTTGCAAGGCATTAAGGATAAACTTCATCAATCCCACATAATTGAGAGTTGTGGCTTCCGGGCTGTCAAATGGACAATGGTCAGTTATTTCATGAGTATGTTGGTCATTAAAGATATACTACTACTTCATGAGTATATGTCACTAGGCAAGGAATTGAAGGTATTTCATCTCATTTGGTGCATGCCTATATGTGATGATCATACTACTTTAATTTACATCTATGTTTCTTTTATCTACCTCTCGCAATATAATTAATCCCGAGTACTAATGTGCTTTTGGAGATTGGTATGTCAATTGAATACCTTTTTGAAAACTGGGAAGCTAAGCTGCTTGTAGTCAAGTATTGAAGATGTAGAGGTAAGAAGACTTGATAAATTATTTCCTTCTAATTGAAGGATGGATGTATGTGTTTTGTTTCAAGTAAAACATTAAGTTCATAGTGAGACTACACTTATTGTTTTTATATATTTTGTTCAACAGTTCTGCCCCTCACTAATTGATATTGATGATTTGTCAAGCTAAGGCTTATTATAATTCTAAAAACTTCTTCATGAGATGGATTATATTTATATCCATTTTAGGCATTCTGTAAGGCATTAAAATGAAAGATTTTACAGTGATCTTGAAATTGCTTTCAGGACCTTAAAATTTTGTATTCTTCAAAGAGGTTGCAAAACGTGCAGAAGAAGCACACCTTATATTAGCTTTCCCCAATAAAGCTAAATCATGTTGCTTTTTATTTTAACTTCACGACTATTGAACTACTAATTACTATTTCTATTAGGCCGGATAAATGAATGAAACATTCAATATAATTTGCCAACAACTAAGAGTATGAAATAAAAAATGGAGAAGTTTAGAATCACAGTATGAAATTATCCTACAAAACTTACACCTCTACATACAGTTGCTATCTAACAACTTTGTTTCTGTGATGATGATATGTTTGATGCATTCTTTTTCTGATTTGATCTCATTTTGTTTTCTCTGTTTTGCACTATTTTTTCGTAGATCAAAATCCATGAATGCAATGAATTACAAATACAAGAGTCTATACAAGACAACTTGGTCGGGCTTGTAGTGAACTAACAGTTAGTTTAAAATGGTGTCTTTGTATCTGCATTTACATTTGCACGCAAGATAAAATGAAATGGTCTTGCTACCTTGTATTAGTTGTATAGATAATTGAAGGTTACAAATGAATTGGTTCCTCATGACTTCATCAACCGATCTTTCAATTCAATTCAAAATTGATGGTCGAGGTTAGAGGCTACATCATGCTTCATTCTTAATATTTTATTTTCTTTAGAAAAGCAAGCTGTTACTATTTCCTTTTCTAATCTCATTTCGTTGTCTCCAGTTTCCATAGATCAAATTGGAGGGGCGTCACTCTTTCCTTGTCGCTTCTGCCAAGCAGTTACAATGGAAAAAAAAGTTGGAGGGTTGTCATTCTTCCCTTGTCCTTCTTCCAATCAGTTTCAACAAAAGAGAGGATAAACTCTGGTGCCTAGAGTCAGGCTTGTATAGTTGTAATTACAAAAAAATAAATTCATTTTTATAATTTAGAATTATATCACTCTATCACCACATTATTACCTGAAAGAACATCAATATTGCTCTATATATTCCGGGGGAGGACTGGTGTTGTTTCCTTGTACAGATCAGATATATTGAAGGTTTTAATTTCGTTGTTTCCTTAGACCTCAGCTGTGAAAATGTACCGTGCAGTCACTCCAACAACATAATAGAAAGATGCACTGTACTAGACAGTTTAATTAGTTACTTGTTTGGTTAAGAGAGAATGATTCCTCATTAATGAAAGAAACTTATTATGATTGATTGCTACTACCCTACAGAGTATCCAGAAGTTGCCAGATGCATAGTATTTTTGAAATAGCTTAGCTTGCAGAACCTGCAAAAATCGTATTCTTCAAAAACTCAAGCTGTACTATTGATCATAATTACATTGTTTCAAGAAATGCAGTGGATATTCTTTGACAGAAATAGTTTGTGATTTGCAGGCCATTAAAGATGACCCGATTTCACTTGTGAACTGTGCAGTAATTGTAAGGCACTTGAGTAAAAGAACCAGATCTACGGTCTAGTAATGGGGAATTTGGGGTAGAGAGGAGAAATAGAAGGAGAAAGAAGAAGAAAATAGGGCTGTATTCATTCCATAAAAAACTTCTCTGCTGTTTACACCCCCTTTTAAGGCTAAGGCAACAGAAAAATAAAGCTAATATCAATGAAAAATAGCTGGCATAACAGTCCCCTTCAATCCAGGAGCTCGTTCAGCAGCAGGAAATAACAGATGCTTCAAAACGGTTTCGTCTGATGCCTTCTTTTAACCACCGCAACGGCTCCTTCACAACGACGTCGTATGGCTTAAATTATAACGGCTCTCTCAACCACCCTTCTTACGGCGTCGTTTTGGTCCCTCGACTTTCAGCCTTTATCAATTACAGACTCCTCTTTCTCACTCGTTGCTTCTCTTCCCTTCCCCTCCTTATCTTCACCATTGGGACCAACTTGCAGGGTCGTTACATCACCTCCCCCACCAGACGATCCTTGTCCCCAAGGATCAAAAGAAGGAAATTGGCTCTTCAAGTGGTAATAATCTTCCCAGGTTGCAGCAGAGTCAGGGAGATTAGCCCACTGTACCAGAAGTTGTGTAACAGCCTGGTTGTTTCTCTCCACTAATCTCTTGCCCAATACTGCGACAGGTTCAGTCAACAATTGCCCATCCCTGTCCAGTACTGGAGGGTCGAGCTGCACCACTGTGCCTTCCCCCACCCTTTTCTTCAATTGGGAAACATGAAACACTGGATGCAATTGTGCTCCTGCAGGTAATTGCAACTTATATGCTACTGCCCCCACCTTCTCAATGACCTTGTAGGGCCCATAGTATTTAGAAGCCAATTTGAGGTTGCTCCTGACTGCTAAAGAGACCTGTCTATAGGGCTGTATCTTCAAATAAACCCAATCTCCCACCATGAGGACCCTTTCACTCCTACCCTTATCTGCCTGCACTTTCATCCTATTCTGGGCTTGTTTCAGATTCTCCTTAAGAGTGGCCAACACAGCATTTCTTTCAATCAGCCAACTGGACTCCTCATCCTTGTGGATTGCATTGCAGACTAGAGCTGGAGGAGTATACCCATAGAGGGCCTGGAATGGGGTGCATTTCAAGGCAGAATGGTAGTTGGTGTTGTACCACCATTCTGCAAGGTGAAGCCACTTTCCCCAGCTAGCAGGTTTTTGAAAAGCCATGCACCTCAGGTAACTTTCCAAGCACTGATTGACCCTTTCTGTTTGGCCATCAGTTTGGGGGTGATAGGCTGTGGAAAGATTTAATTGGACCTGCATATTCTTAAATAGAGCCTGCCAAAACCTACTAGTGAATACCTTGTCTCTGTCTGAGATGATACTCCTAGGAAGCCCATGTAGTCTGTATATATTTTCCATAAAGAGATTAGCAATAATTTCAGCAGTGTAAGGGTGAGATACTGCAATGAAGTGTGCATATTTTGTCAATCTATCAACCACCACTAAGATGACATTTTTCTGCTTGGACAGTGGCAAACCCTCTATGAAGTCCATGGAAATGCTTTGCCAAGCTTCTTCTGGGATGTTTAAGGGTTGTAGAAGACCAGGATTGGCCACATTCTCATGTTTGCACCTTTGGCAGGTGTCACATGTCCTAACCAACTCAATCACATCTCTCTTCAACCCCTTCCAATAGAAGAGTGCCTTCATTCTTTGGTATGTACCTGTCTGACCAGAGTGTCCCCCAATGGCAGATTCATGCAGTTTCAACATCAATTCCTTCCTCAAGGTTCCATTGGAGCCAATATAAAGCCTGCCTTTATATCTTAAGAGCCCACTAGTGACTGTAATGGTAGTGTCTGTAGGGTCAATTAGGGCAGCAGTCAGGTTAGTGGAAGCCCAAGTGTCCCCTGTGTAACTATTGAGAACCTCTTCTAACCACTGAGGTTGTACTACTGAGATTGCATTCAAAACTGGACCTTCATCATAGTCCCTTCTGGATAGGGCATCAGCTACTTGGTTATCTGCCCCTCTCTTGTACTGGATGGAGTAGTCCAGCCCTAGAAGCTTAGATAATCCTTTCTGTTGTAGGGCAGTAGTAATCTTTTGTTCCAAGAGAAACTGAAGGCTATGGTGATCAGTTTTGATAGCAAAGTGCCTTCCTAACAAGTATGGTCTCCATCTATCCACAGCATTTATAATGGAAAGGTATTCCTTTTCATAGATAGACAGCCCAAGGTGTTTCTCCCCAAATGCTTTGCTGAAAAAGGCTATAGGCTTACCCTCTTGGACCAACACAGCCCCCATCCCTTTATGGCTTGCATCAGCTTCCACTATGAAGTCTTTCTGAAAGTTAGGCAATGCTAGAACTGGGGAATTACACAAAGCAGACTTGAGTTGCTCAAAAGCCTGATCAGACTCTGGACCCCATTTAAATCCATCCTTCTTTAACATCTCTGTTAAGGGTTTGCTCAACACCCCATAGGCTCTTATAAACCTTCTGTAGTAGCCTGTAAGACCTAGGAAACCCCTCAAGGCCTTGACAGTCTTAGGTCTAGGCCAAGCTGCCACAGCTTCCAATTTAGTAGGATCAGTCTGCAAGCCTTCCTGGGAGATGATGTGCCCTAAGTATTCCACTTGAGTTTGTGCAAATGAGCACTTACTCATTTTGGCTAGAAGTTGATGCTGTCTCATGGTTAGAAGGACCTCTCTTAGGTGCTGCCAATGGACTTCCCAGCTAGGACTGTAGACCAGTATATCATCAAAGAAAACCAAAACAAATTTCCTCAACAATGGTTTGAATACTGAGTTCATTAGGGCTTGAAAGGTAGCTGGTGCATTGGTGAGCCCAAATGGCATCACCTTGAACTCATAGAGCCCCTGATGAGTCCTAAATGCTATTTTGAATTCCTCCCCTTCCTTCATCCTAACCTGATGGTACCCTGACCTGAGATCCAGCTTAGAAAAACAGTTGGCTCCAGACAATTCTGAGAAAAGGTCTTCCACTAGTGGAATAGGGAACTTATTCTTCACTGTGATATTGTTAAGTGCCCTGTAATCTATACAAAACCTCCATGAGCTATCTTTCTTGGGGACAAGTAGGACTGGGGATGCAAAGCAAGAAGAGCTAGGGGTAACCACCCCAGCAGCCAACATTTCATCAACCATTTTCTCAATGGTATTCTTTTGATCAAAAGAATACCTATAAGGCCCCACATTAACAGGCTTAGCTCCAGGTATGAGGGTGATAGTATGGTCTAAGGCTCTCTTGGGTGGTAGGGTTTTTGGCTCTTGGAATAGGTCTTGGAACTCTGAGAGTAAACTGCTGAGCTCAGGGAACTTAGGTTGTGGTTTAGTGATATTGGTGGCTGATTTGGAGGGTAAGTGGGAGGTTGTCACAGTGCAACATTGCACAAGGAAGCCTTGCACTCCTTCTTTGTGCCACTTCTTAAGCTGCTTGTCTGTGGCAGCTTTCAAAATCACCTTCTTAGTCAATCCCTTCAGAAAAACTTTTCTCCCATCCTTGTGGAAAGAAATACCAGGGGGCCTTGTGTGTAGCTGAATGGGGGCAAACAGATCCACCCAATCCATACCAAGCACCATATCACAACCCCCAAGTCTCAATAACCTGAAATCTTTTGTAAAACTTTCTTGTTGTATCTGCCAACTCAGATTGGGGCAAACTGAATCACTAATCACCTTATCACCACTTGCCACTGTGACTTCCAAGGCTTTGGCCTTCTCAGGTTGCCTCCTCATGTGATCAAGCAACTGGGGATCAAGGAAGCTATGGGTGCTTCCACTGTCTACTAGTATGACAATAGGCTGCCTCTGAATACATCCCAACAACTTAATAGTATTTAGGCCTTCTCCACCCACCACAGCACATAATGATATTTCTGCCTCTTCAGGAATTGTCCCATCCTCTTCTGCTTCCACTAAGCTAGGCAATTCATTGTTCTCTTGGCCCTCTATGATATTGAAGGTAGGACCACTACACTTATGCCCAGGCTGCCAGGGTTCAAAACACCTGAAGCACCTCCTCTGTTCTCTTAGTTGGTTTCTGAATTGGGTGACCTCTGGTGATTTAGAGGCAGTAGGTTGGTGTTGCAAGGGTGGTTTGTGGTTTGGGTTCTGAGGGTAAGATTGGTTGGTATTTGGGCTATATGTTCTAGGGTTTTGTGTAGGTTTGGAGTTCCAACTGGGAGCCTTAGGTCCATCACTCCCTTTCAGCCCCTTTTCATACTGTCTGGCTAGCCAGATGGCATCTTCTAGACTGTTTGGCTTGGCAGTTCTGACAAAGCATCTTAGATTTTGCTTGAGCCTAGCAATGTAGTTTTCCAGGAAGTAGTTCTCTGTGAGACCAGGGTGTGCTTGCAATAAAAGGCTTTTGAACCCCTCATACCCATCAGTATACTCATCCACTCCACTCCATTGCTTAAAGGCAGTAAAATCCTCCATGAGTGACACACCACTATCCCCAAATCGCTTACACACAGCCTCTGTAAAGTCTATCCACTGGAACCCTTCTCTCAACCCATGAATGTACCCCTCAAACCACAGTCCAACCTTCCCACTCAAGTGGACATACAGCAGATTTATCACATCATATCTAGGAATATGAGATAACACAAAGAATTTTTCACACCTGAGCACCCACTGTCTAGGATTAGCGTAATCAAAGGGTGGAAACTCACTTTTAAATCTGGGGTAGATGTCTGAATTTTGTCCTGCTCCTGGCCTAAGGCCCCCCACTATCCTTCTCCTAGGGATCCACTCAGCTTGTGGCCCTTCAGAAGCCATTGTCTCAGGGTCCAATTCTTCCAGTTCAGGCTCTTGCACAGGTGCCTTGTCTGGCCTGCCTCCTGAACTCTCAGGAACTCGCCCTTGGACTGAGGATTGCCCAGGTGAGTGTCCCATGACTGGAGGTGCAGGTCGATTCAGCCGCAGTAAGTTGATCATCTCATCTCTGAAGGATGCAAACTGGGTATTCATCTGTGAGCTCAACTCAGTGACTGAATCTTGTGTGGCCTGGATCCCGTTGTCAATTTTGCTGTTGAGCTCAATCACGGTAGCCTCCAACTTTCGCATACGGTCCTCCATCGTGAGCTCTGATACCAAATGTAAGGCACTTGAGTAAAAGAACCAGATCTACGGTCTAGTAATGGGGAATTTGGGGTAGAGAGGAGAAATAGAAGGAGAAAGAAGAAGAAAATAGGGTTGTATTCATTCCATAAAAAACTTCTCTGCTGTTTACACCCCCTTTTAAGGCTAAGGCAACAGAAAAATAAAGCTAATATCAATGAAAAATAGCTGGCATAACAGTCCCCTTCAATCCAGGAGCTCGTTCAGCAGCAGGAAATAACAGATGCTTCAAAACGGTGTCGTCTGATGCCTTCTTTTAACCACCGCAACGGCTCCTTCACAACGACGTCGTATGGCTTAAATTATAACGGCTCTCTCAACCACCCTTCTTACGGCGTCGTTTTGGTCCCTCGACTTTCAGCCTTTATCAATTACAGACTCCTCTTTCTCACTCGTTGCTTCTCTTCCCTTCCCCTCCTTATCTTCACCATTGGGACCAGCTTGCAGGGTCGTTACAGTAATCCATCAATTGGACAACCTTGACTGTTTGGAAGGGCTTGAGAAGCTAATAATGATTTAAGTTTCTGTTGACTGCACTGTAACTCTTAAAATCGGTCTGTGTTTCCTTTCCTACCCGAGAAGTTGAGATTGAATGGGTTTTAATCATTTTGAGAGGCATATAACTGTACGTAGTTGGCGTTCAAGCTAGAAAATTCCTTCCACGGAAAAGTAGGGGAAGTAGTTGAAGGAGGATTCTATCAATTCGGATTCTTGCTTCTTGAACAAAAAAAGCCTGAAGCAGTTGAAGGCTAATAAATATTCCTTCCATATTTCTGGCTGTTAAGGAATATATATTTGATATATAGAATCTCTATATATTATGCAGTTTAGGGTTTTAGGTAGGTAGGACATATGGAAACTTGTTTCTATTCGTAATTTTCTAGTACCTATTTATAGGGTTTTGTATTTTCTATTCCTATGAGAGTTTGATATAATATATGACAGCACATTTGAAACTCTCTCTCTTCACTTTAGTAACATGGTATCTGAGCCTTTACGATAATTTTTTTTTCCGCTCCGTTGTCGTCACGTTTTGACTAGCGTGAGCCTCACGTGCCGCCGGTGCGTGAGGCTCCTCCAACGATTAAAAAAACGTTTTGGTCAACTTGTTCCTGAGTCGCCTAAGTCTGTTTGTCTTGGTTCTGACTTAGTTTGGACCATTGACTTTTGTTCTACGGTCAGTTTGTCTCGTTTTGGTGCTGTCTTGTTTTGTGTTTTAGTGCTGTCTCGTTTTGTGTTTTGGTGTTGTCTTGTTTTTGTCCTATCTTGTTTTGGTGTTGCCTCGGTTTGGTGTTATCTCTCCTTCGTTTTGGTGTTGTCTCCTTTTTTATGCTCGTTGATTGGAGCATGCTTCCCTTTTGTTAGTCAAGATACTTCCCTTTTGCTAGTAAAGAATTTGTGTCCTCTAGTTTGGAGTTTGTCTTCTTTACTTTGTGTGTTCAAGCTTGTTCGGTCCACTTTCTGTTCACCCGGAGTTGCGGTATTGGTGGCGTCCAAGCTTCCTGTTCAGGGGATGGTCCAATCCCAAGCTTGTTCGGTGTATCACGTTAAGTTCACCCAACTGTCCGTAGGTATTGGTGGTGTTCACAGCTTTCGTTTCAGGGGGAGTTTCCAATTTCAAGCTTGTTCGGTCACTTTGTGTTCATCCATTGTTCGTGGGATTCGTGGCCTTCGAAGCTTTCGTTGGAGGGGGAGTATGAGTATCCAATTTTAAGCTTGTTCGATCAAATGGACTTGAGTTATTAGTTATTTAGTTATTTTGGGTTATCACTCATTTGTGTAACAAGTTGTGCATTATTAAAATATATGCTCCAACTTGAGGGGGAGTGTTAAGGAATATATATTTGATATATAGAATCTCTATATATTAGGCAGTTTAGGGTTTTAGGTAGGTAGGACATATGGAAACTTGTTTCTATTCGTAATTTTCTAGTACCTATTTATAGGGTTTGTATTTTCTATTCCTATGAGAGTTTGATATAATATATGACAGCACATTAGAAACTTTCTCTCTTCACTTTCGTAACACTGGCACTTGTGTCTAAGATTCTGCCATTGTTTGGAAGAGATTCCCGGGATCGGAGTTTTGCAATATTTTGCAGTCAATTGAGTTGAAACAGGTGCAGCCCTTGTATTGTTGTTGTTGCCAGGCAGATTCAAGAAGGCTGCATCCATTATGAAAAAAATTGAATGTTTGAGGTTAGAAGCTACATCATATTTGCTTCATTCATAATTTTTTATTTTCTTATACATTCTTTACAATTTCTTTTTCTGATCTCATTTTGTTCTCTCCATTTTCCTAGATCAAAACCTATGGGCTTGAATATGAGGAATCACCGTATCCACATGTAAAAGAGGACTTGGCAGACATCATATATAGTGAGCTAAGTGCTATTAGAAAATAGTATGTACTCAGATACATATCTCATGTCTGCCCATTGTCTCCAACATACTTTATGGTCTGCCCATTATTTCTAAAATACTTTATGATATATTAGAAAACATGACTAGTTTTCTGTTTTTTTTTTTTTTTTTTTTTTTTTTTTTTTTTTTTTTTTTTTTTAAATGCATTTGATATTGTTTGACAGCTAAATGATTCTCATTTGCAAGGCATTAAGGATTAAGTTACTCAATCCCACATAATTGAGAGTTGTGGCTTCCAGTCTGTCAAATGGACAATGGTCAATTTTTCCTCGCCGAACATTGTAAAATTCCCTTGGTGTTTAACAGAAAATTTGAACCTGCTGTCAACTAAGTTGGATACTGGCAAGTTGAAAAAGGAAACTGCATTTTTGAGGTTAGAAGCTACAACACATGATCCATTCACAATTACTATATTTCTTTTCCATTACTGAAGGTGCCACGGAAAAGTATGTGAATTACTATATTTCTTCATTTTTTTTTTAATTTTCTTATACATTCTTTACAAAAGCTACTACTATTTCTTTTTCTGAACTCATTTCGTTCTCTCCATTTTCCATAGATAAAAACCGATGGGCTTGAATTTGAGGAATCACCTTATCCACATGTAGAAGAGGACTTGGCCGACATCATAGTGAGCTAATTGCTATTAGAAAAATGGTATGTACACGGATACATATCTCATGTCTACCAATTATTTGTGAGAGTTGTGGCTTCCTGTCAAATGGACAGTGGTCAGTTTTTCCTTGCCGGAGATAGACGCATGCATGTTGGTCATTTGCCAGTATGCTTGAGTTAAGTAATCATGTTTTTCAAAGAAATCATGTTTGTTGGGTGTGGCATATATGCAGGTCAAATCATTTGGTGCCTATATGAGATAATGTAGAGGTAAGAGGAATTGCTTGCTTACTTTGTACTATCTCATTTGGTGCCAGATTGATAATGATTTGCAAGGCTAATTAAGTATAATTGTGAAAACTTCTGTTATTAGAATTAACTATAAATAACCTCCATCTTATGCATACTGTATGGCTTTAAAGCAAAGATTTGACACTGATCTTGGTTTTAAAGAAAGGATTTAAAATCTTGAAGTCACTCTTTAATTAGGTAATCGATATGTAATCATTTTATTTTAACTGAGCACTCCTTTTTAAAATTACAATATGAAATAATCTTCGAAAACTCACGCCTTTTTGATTGCTAACAACTCCACTTTTATAATGCAAAATTTGAGGGGTTAACTAACCACTTAAATGGTAGTGGTAAATGGTTTACTACAATGCAGTTAACATGCTTCATTCTTAATTTTTTACTTTCTTTATAAAAGCTTTAATTTTACTATTTTTTTCTCTGATAATATCTTATTTCATTGTCTTTTTTTTTTTTTTTTTTCATAGATTAAAATCAACAGGCTTGATCTAAAGAATCACCATATCCACATGTAGACCTCACTGTGGATTTATTGCTATTTGAAAAATGGTACTTACGTAGAGACATATCTGCATGCCGATTAATTGCAACATACTATTTGATCTATAATAAAACAAAACAATTTTAAATATGAGCAATAACCTCAAAGTATACAATTAATATTCAAAACTAGTATGATTTCTAACCAAAAGAAATCCAAAATTTGAATAATAATGTAATAGATATATACTTGAAAGGTTAAAAACTATAAGCCCACGTGAAAAAGTTTTAATTGCATAAAATCAACTTTGTGAGAAACAGGCTGAATTCACAAATATCAAGCCATAGTATATGTTTTATTCATAAATAAAAAATCTCACAAATTCTAATTGCATAATTAAATTTAATATTATGCACTTAATGTGATTAAAAGCATAAAACCATCTAAAGAGTATGAAAAACACCAAATGTGTATTCAATTATTCATAGTTAACTAAATGTGGGCAATGACATCTAAAATCATAATTCAAATACTAAATAAATTATGTCATAGATTGCCAAGAAAACATATTTTTCCAAAATCTGAATTGATTCAAAAGCACACTCCAAAACTCAATTAATAGTATTATTAATGGCATAAAATTGCAAATAAACCAAAAAGGCAATAAATAGCCATAATAATAGTATTATGTTAATTTGGAGACTAAATATGAAAAAACAATAGTTAAAACTTGTTAACCTTTAAAACATTTTCGGATATCACTTCAAAATTTAATAAAACTTAAGTCCGAAAAAATGCCACATAAATCAATTTGGAAACAATTCATGTCTTAATACCATAAAAAATAATGTTATCATTAAGTAAAATATTAATAGTAATAAGGAGCATTATAATCACTATGAACATTTTAATAATGACAAACATGGTAATACATATCTTAATGTTTCCATATTCTTAAGGATAAAATGTGACTAGTTCAAAATGGTTAACAGCTATAACAATAGTTACCAATAATAATAAACTGTAATTAATGATTTGCGTACCTTAATGATGCAAACTGCATCTATCGATAGCACTAACAGCGATAGCGAAGAAAACCTCCAAAATCTTCCATCTTCACGGAGAGTTTAGTTGAATCGCCCAATGGTATGTAACAGTTTATTGGTAACACTTAATTACCATTATTAATAATAATGAAAAATGAAATGACATGGGTAATCTTACCAATGTACCAAATATAGTAGATTAACATGAATGAATAATTATTATGAAAGGTAATACATGAGATTAGCCCCTAAACTTAATAACAGTAATTAATAATGCAAATTAATGATAATTGCAATTAAATGTAAAACTGTAATTAAGGGATGCTAAATACTAATCTCAATTTACCACATAATAATTAATCAAGACTGTAATGAGTCCATAAGGAAACTGAAATTAAGGTATAACCAAATTACCATTCGAAAGGCAATATATCAACTATGTACATTGCTTGCCATGAAAAATACTTAAGATTATCGTTAAGACCCTGAAAACTATTAATAGATTAAAACATAATCAACTTAAATAATAGTTATAATTCTTAATGGCCAAAACAATAATTATAATTCTTAATGACTTCAAATAGTAAATGTAATCCTTAAACCCTTAATGACTCAAAATCATGCAATGATAATAATTATAGCACAAAATTGCTTAAGTCAGGCCCATAAACCTTAATGTCCCAAGTTAATTATAACATGAATGATAAATGCTCTAATATGGAAATAGATCCAAACATTATATTATCACCAACAATAAATACGGTTAACAAAATACGGTAGTTAGTAATAATTGAAACTTAATAAACATGTTATAATCAAATAAAATGCTACAATTACTATTAAAATATCAATCAAATAATAGCATGATGCCAGGGTCCATACTGACCAAGATAGGTCCTAAATAGCTTGTTCAAAATAGGTTTTAAAGTCCCATGTGAAAAAATAGGACTAAAGTATACTCAAAATTAATTGAGAAACCAACAAGCTGTCTTAATAGGCTATATTGTCCAAAATTAGCCTAAGGATCCAAAATTGAATGATATTTAGTATGAAGGCTATGAATTAATAATATGCTATATCCAATCTTAATATATGCTTTTCTAAATGTACAATTATAATAAAATAATTTATGAATATACAAAGTATGTTTGGATTTTGCACATTAATATATTATTAACTCATAAATCCTAAATAAATTGCAATAATTCAGGCAATTTAATATGCACCTTAATTATGAATTTAATGCCAAAATTAAGAAAAAAACTAAAGGGGCATTAATATCTGTAAGTTGGTTGGTCGCTTTCTTACCGACCGGAACATTATATTCAAGGTGATGAGACAGGTGATGGCGTCTGTTTGGAGGCCTTTAATGGGGATTCAAGTTGCAGAGTTAGGCTGTTGTTAAATGTGTCGCCTATTCGGAATGTAGTTGTAGATGTTTTTGTGTTGTGTGATTCAAGTTCTTCGCATTATTTTATTTATGAGAAGTTGCAAAGGATTTATATTTGCAAGCTAAGAAGTTGAGTGATCATTTGTATGTTAATAACCGTATGGGGAAGATGGTGGTAACAGATACTTGGTTTCAAGATTGTCATCTACAAATTAATGGGAGTGATGTGTCAATTGATTTAATTCAGCTCGATATGCAGGATTTAGATATGATATTAGGAATGGATTGGCTATCCAGAAACTATGCCACATTGATTGCGCTCGTTGGAATGTGGTGTTTCAAATTCCTGGACAATCTATCTTTACTATTGGGACACTTTCCTAGGAGTGGAGTGTTGGTTTCGGAAGTGCCATTGAAAGTAATTTCTGCATTGAAAGCTAAGAAAGAATTGGCAAAAGGGTGTAGCGGTTTCTTGACTTATGTAATGGATACCCACCAGAAAGAAGTTAAGTTAGATGATATCCTAGTTGTTAAGGAATTTCCATACGTGTTCCCAGAGCGTTTACATAGGTTACCTGGCCTCTAGATAGAGAAATTGAGTTTGAAATAGAGGTTGTTCCGGAACTATTCCAATCTCAAAGGCCCCTTACCGCATGGCACCATCTGAGCTATGTGAGTTAAAGGTGCAATGCAAGAATTGCTTGATATGGGATTTATTAGAGCTAGTGTATCTCTTCGGCGTGCAACAGTGTTATTTATGAAGAAGAAGAAAAAAAAATTTGTAGCTTGCGATTGTGTATTGACTATTGGGAATTGAATAAAGTTACTGTCAAGAACATGTATCTTCTACCTCACATAGATGATTTATTTGACCAGTTGCAAGGTGCTAAATACTTCTCAAAAATTGATTTGAGATCAGAGTATCATCAATTGAAGGTTAAAGCTAGTGATGTACCCAAGATTGCTTTTAGGACCCAGTATGGCCATTATGAATTTTTGGTGAAGTTGTTCGGGCTAACTAATGCTCCTACTTTCTTTATGGATTTAATGAATAGGGTCCTCAAGTCGTTTCTGGACAAATTTGTTGTGGTATTTATTGATGACATTTTGCAATATTCAAAGAGTGAGGAAGAACATGCTCAACATCTAAGGACCATCTTGCACACCTTGAAGGGAAATGAATTGTATGCCAAGCTAAGTAAATGTGAATTTTAGCGCAAAGAGGTATCTTTTCTTGGTCATGTAATTTCTAGAGACGGGATTTCTGTAGACACAACTAAGGTTGAAGCAATAACACAATGGCCGAGACCCACTAATATTACAGAATTAAAGAGTTTTCTGGGTTTAGCAAGTTATTACAAGAGATTTGTGAAAGACTTCTCATTAATAACTATGTCATTGATTCGGTTAACTCGGAAGGGTATAAAGTTTAATTGGGATGAGGAGTGTGAGAAGAACTTTCAAGAATTAAAGGAATTATTGGTTAGTGCACCTATCTTAGCCCTATTATCTGGGGAAGAAAGATTTGTTATTTATAGTGATGCTTCAAGAAGCGGATTAGTATATGTGTTGATGCAAAATGATAAGGTGGTAGCCTATGCCTCTTGACAATTGAAGTCTCATGAAGTTAACAACCCCACTCATGACTTAGAACTAGCAGCTATGGTTTTTGCTTTAAAAATTTGAAGGCACTACCTGTATGGAGAATCTTGTCAAATATTTTCAGACCATAAGAGTTTGGAGTGCCTCTTTACCCAAAAGGAAATGAACATGAGACAACGATGATAGTTGGAGCTAATAAAAGAATATAACCTCACTATTAATTATCATCCATGTAAAGCTAACATGGTAGCTGGTGCTTTAAGTTGTAAGTTTTCCACGGTTAATGTGATAGTGGTAACTACTCAAACCCAATTGTTGAAAGATTTTCAAGATTTAAAAGTTGAGGTTATCTTGCAAAATAAGCAAGGAAGGATATTAGAAACTATGATTACAAAATTGGTATTATTAGATCGCATTAAAGTTGCCTAAGTTGATTAAGATTCGTGGGAAAAATACAATTTGGGTTATTGTGGATCGACTCACTAAGCTTGCACATTTTTATACCCATTAAGAAGACCTAGCTAAGTTGTATGTGAAAGAAGTTGTAAGGTTTCATGGTGTACCTGTTAGTATAGTATCTGACTGAAACTCTTGATTTGTGTCAAAATTTTGGAGAAGCTTATAATGAGCCATGTGGACTGAATTAAAATTAAGCACTGCATTTCATCCACAAACAGATGGGCAAACCGAGAGGACTATTCTGACCTTGGAGGATATTCTTCGAGCTTGTGGCTTGGATTATATTTCAAGGGTAGTTGGAGTAAATACTTAACTTAAATTGAGTTTGCATATAACAATAGCTACCAATTGAGTATAGGAATGTCACCTTTTGAAGCTTTATTTGGAAAGAAATGTAGATCTCCTTTATATTACGATGAAGTTGGAGAAAGAAAGATCTTAGAGCCAAAACCTGTACAAATCACATTTGAGAAGATTCAATTAATTAGGAAAAGAATTAAAGCTTCCCAAGACAGACAAAAGAGCTGGGCTAACTTGAAAAGAAGAAAATTGAAATTCAAAGTTGGAGATTTTGTGTATTTAAAAGTTTCACCATCTCGAGGAGTAATGAGGTTTGGAGAAAAAGGAAAACTATGTGCACATTACAGTGGACCATTTGAGATTTTGAGTAGAGTTGGTAGTTTGGCTTATGAGCTAGCCCTACCACCACAACTAGCTAGAGTACACAATGTATTCCATGTATCAATGCAACGAAGATACATTGCAGATCCGGGTCATGTTGTGGAGTATCAACCTTTGCAAGTTAGGATGACTTAACTTATGAAGAAGTACATCTTCGCATCATTGACCAAAAGGAACAAGTATTGAGGTCCCGAGTAATCCCATTTGTTAAAGTGCAATGTTCACATCATACTCCAAGAGAAGCAACATGGGAAAAGGAAGATGATATGAAGGATAGCTATCCTAAACTCTTCAAGTTTGATGGTACGTAAGTTTCGAGGACGAAACTTATTTTAAGGTGGGGAGATTGTAATACCCACTATCTTGGAAATAAAAAATATACCTATGTTATTAAAATAGGTCAACAAGTCAAAGGTTATTAAAATTGATATTGGATGAATTTACTAAATTACCCCTCTTTACCCTTAAAGGTTAAGGAACCACTTTGGTCTTGGATAAACATTTCATTTGAAAGAAGATAAGGGGAGCTAACTAGAGAGAGATAGGGGAAGGAAAAACCTTGGAGCTTTGATCTCCATCTTCTTCAAGCTTAGATCTCAAAGCTATTGGAGTATTCTAGGTAAGTTTGACCTCTATATTTCACTCTTTGAGTTGGGTTTATCACTTGAGCCCTAAGATTAATGTTTGAAAATATTAGGGATTTTGACAAGGAGTATTTGGGCGAGCTTAATAGCTAAGATTTGGATGTTTTTAGGTAAGTGTTTATTTCTCTCAAACTTTTTTTACCCTATACTATAAATTAAACTTGTGTTTTAAGTTGTATATTGATGTTTTGAGCTGCGTTTTTGGACTGGAAATGTCTACCGGAACTGTGTTTCAAAACTCTGGTTTTTTCCCTGGAAATGTTGAATATTTTGGACTGAAACTGTTTCGGGTCTTGACTTATATATTCTGGACTGAAAGCTGGCACTATGTGTAGAGGTGTTGGAGTGGTTTGTTGGTGCTGTGTTGGTGCCTTGGTGAGATGTTGCATGTCGTGTGTTCAACTCCCCTTGCTAACATTTTGTGTGCTGTTTTACTTGTATGCTATATGTTTATAAAATGGGTTGTTTGCTTAAAGTGAGATTTGAACTCTTAACCTCACGATTATATTAACTTAAGTTCTTCTAACTAAGCCATTTCAATCCCTTTGAAATTACTTTGGTTTAATAAACCATTCTATGATGTCTAAAGAGTTATGTACTAAGAAAATTATTATTTTGAGAATGGTTTATACCTTGCATATTTCTTAGTTTGATAAACTTATTACCTATTTTGGAAATATGAACTTTGTTATGTGATTTTAAGCAAATGATTTTTACTACATCGGGCTATTTGATTATAAGAACTATTTTGATTATTTGATCAAACTCATGAGGCAACCTACATTTTGTTGTTTGTTTTGGTTGGCTTGGAATGTTCCTAATTGCTCATTCCGAATCGTCGAGCTTGACTCATTTCGAATCGTCAAGTCTTTCGAATTATTTGTTGGAACGTTCCATCCGGCTCATTCTGAATCGTCGAGCCTGACTCATTCCGAATCGTCGAGTCTTTTTGGACCATTATACCGATAATGGCATGTGCCACATAATATAATGGTGGTTGTAGGTTGCCAATGAGTTATATGTAAAGGAATGATTGGTGCTTTTGAAAGTATTGTATTATGACATAATATTGATGCCCATGTAGCTAAAGTTTTTCGTTTTGGGAATTTGTGTATAGTATGATGGAAGTATGTTATGATTTTGATATAATTTAAGGATTGAGTTTTGCATCTAGTTGTTACTCTAAAGCTTTTTGTATTATATTGGGGCTACTTGATCCGGGGTTGAGAGGAGTATCACTTACTGGGCATTAGCTCATTATTTGTATTTTTTCTCATGTTTCAGAGTAGTTAAGGACATGTGAATAGCACGAGCACAAGTGGTGGGGTCTCGAAGGTGACTTTTGAAACTTGGAGACTTAGTCCTAGTTTTGGAGCTTATCATGGATTTTTGTTTATTTAGACTTTCCCTTTGACCCTTTGTATTTTTGGTAGACCATTGTGCTTCGTTTTGGTGCTTGTGATGCATTTTGGACATACTACTCTTAATTATAAATATCTAATAGTGGATTTGATGAGTTTTTGGGAAGAACAAGTCGATTATATTTTGTAATTTTGGGTTGTGGAATTATTGTATATTCAAGAGTTATTATGAAGATTCTGAGAGGTATGTATGGTTAGGCTTCGTATTGTTACAGGTCTTCACGTAACGATACGGCCGTGTCATGTCCTAAAAGTGGGGCGTGACAATATCACTCTCAATATTAAATTAAAATTTAAATGGCAAATTAAAACGTAATATTTGCTCAAAATGAATAATAATTTAATTGTGACAAGAATGGTGCTAATAATGATAATAATTCAATCATCACAAATAATGTCATAATTAATCTCAATTTGAAATTTTTAATGCCAAAATTCAAAGAATAACTAAAGGGCATTATTATTTCAAAATTAAACAATTACTAATATTTACCATTTGCCAAAATAATTTACAATATTAATTAAGGTAATATTAATATGGTAATGTTAAACCAAATAATTACCATTTACCAAAATTAATATATATAAACATAATTATTAAATATAAGGCAAATATTAATACATATGGTAAATAATAGATAATTGGATCATTCAAGGCGTACCAGGATGAGATTGTTTGTCCAAAGTTTTAGGAGAAATAAGAGGTCTCATATTCTCCGTTTCTTTCTCCTTGCGCCGTTCATCACCGTTCAAACACACTGGACGAACAAATCGGCCGTTGAAGACAGAGACCAGCAGCGACGCCACTGGAGTCTGATGCAGCGACGGCCGGAACTAGTGACACCTGAAGGGGAGAAGAGAACAGCGATGACGCCGATAATTCAGCCCTCCTCCGCCGAGCCGGACCACCACGCCGCAATGCCAAAGCTTGTCACAACGCTAGTCCAGCGGCGCCCTGGTTCGCCGACGCCACCCACTGCCCGCGGCTTTAAGAGGGAGAGGAAGCCGGACGTCGCCGGATGCCTAGCCTCGTCGCAACGCCCGCCAACGCCGCCTGAATTTGCAGTGGCGAGGATGAAGGCTTCTTCTCTTTTTCCACTGCAGCACCGATGAAGAAGAAACAGCAACTGCTAGACAGGGATGTATCCATGGATGACGCCACCATGGCAGCCAATGCCCACCTCCATCGCCAGCCACGGTGCTGACAAACCAAAAACAACAAAAGAAAACCAACAGTACATATCTACCAAAAAAAAATGTACTGTAATATGCTTAGGCAAGCATGGAATTATAGTTCGTTGTTTTTTTTTTGTTTTTTTTTTTTTAAAACAAAAACAAATATATTTTCAAAATATATATTTGTTACTAATTAATCAACTAGGCAGAGATTAATAGGGCTCTGATACCAAATGTTAGATAATAATATTAATGCTAACATAAACTATAGTAAACGAGTAACCTGCCTCGTTACAGCGGAAGCTTTAGGATCGCCCGAATATCCCCAGCCATAGTCGTTGGTATTGCCACGAGATGGTAAACCTGCAGAATAAAGGTTAGTGTCGTTTTGTCTACCACTTCTCTCCCGAATACGTGATGGTGCGTGTCCTGAACACGAGAGCTGTGGGAGGACTATTTTGCTTAGAAGCCTACATGCCATCAATGTAGGCAGATATTCAGTTAAAGCTTAACTGAATATCCTGAGTTGCCTAACAGATTAAGCCACTAACTGACTTAATCTTCCACTTGCACCACAACCACTTAATTAATACAATATATTATAATATACTATATTAGGGAAAATACTTACAATATCTGCATGCCGATTAATTGCAACATACTATTTGATCTATAATAAAACAAAACTAGCTTAGCTTTTTGGTTTCTCTTTCAAAAAATGCTTTTGATATTTTTTGACAGCCAAATGTTTCTCATTTGTAGGGCAGGGCATTAAGGATAAACTTCCTTGATCAATATAATCCCAGACTATAAAAGATGCAGTATCGTCATGGAACCTGAATATGATGAATCACATATAGAATACGAGTTGGTTGGTATGTGTGAGGCTGCAACACATCCCCTAGCTTGTTACTCACCACAAAATTTCAAGGTCATTAAGGATAAAGTTCTTTAATCAGACATAATAGAAAGATGCACATGCAACATTCCTAGAGCTGTAGGTCTTGTCAATGTAGTATTGTCAAAGGCAATGGAGAGCGCAGCTCAGGTACTTATCTTATTGTGATTGCTTTTGCAGAGTATGCAATGGTATTGAGGCATGGGCTCAAGGACACCCAAATGTTTCTCATTTGCAGGGCATGCATCAAGCATAAACTTGCTCATTCATTCCCAGATAATAGAAATATGCAGTATATATAATAATACCCGGTTTTGTGAATATATATAGCTAGCATTCTCATCAAGGCAATGGATAGCTCAAAAAAAAAAAAAAAAAAAAAAAAAAGGTAGATGCTATTGCAGAATATCCAAAATGCTAATAGATGTTGTTGAAACAAAGGATTCATGTTGGTGGTTGTATGTAGCAGGCAAGTTTATCATCCGATCCCTATATGAGGTCGATGATGTTATGAGTACGAGTTTAATTAATTGCAAATTGGTGTGCTAATTGAATATGTTGCAGAAAAATTTCTAATCATATATGCATGATTGTCAAGACTTTTGGCTATCTAATAATTTTCACCTGTCTCTTTAATTTGTAGATATATTATGCCTCAGACAACATTGCTAATCTCGCAATTAAGAAGTTCCCCAATGCCTCATATTTAATGACAGGACCAAATAGAAGGAGGAGTTGAAGATGATGATGTTTCCCCTTGAATAAATTAATTAATGGTATGTGTGGCTACATACATTTGTTTATTTTCATTTATTTGTAAATAATTGCCTATTTAATTTGTAATACTTGTTACTTTATGAGTGACAAATTTAGAAACACATCTATTAATCATCATTTTTGTTTTTGATTTCGATCTACACAATTAGCTTTATGCCTTTTGATACATAACATGCTCGATTTGTGTATTACTTGTTTCAACAGGCCAGGGATGGCAAGGAGTTGCAATGTGGTCGGGCAATTTGTAGGATTGAAATGTGCTTTTCGTGATTGATAAATATTGGAGTTTGGTTTTTGAATTATGATCAAGACAGTGGACTCCTAAAGCAAAAGCTTTTGCTTTTGCTTTTTAAGTGATTGGATTGTGGGCATATGTTAACATTGTGTTTGGTCGGTTAACAACATCTCTTTCCCTGGCTTCAAGGGTTTTTTCATCTCTCTCCCTGGTATCTAGGGTTTATCGATTTTTCTGCATAATCTCGTCGTTTACGTACGTCTGAAGCCTTCTGTTTGGACAGTTGATCGTGGAACGAGCGTCGAAGCAGTGCGGAGGTTGTTTGTGGTTTGTTTCGGCAGTCAGCATGGATGTCCAGGACATCGTCCAGAGTTGTGCGGATATCTCGTTGGAGGAGGAGGAGGCGGGAGTCCGGTTCGAGGTGGAGGATGGGTCGAGGACGGCGGAGGGGGCAGCGGTGCAGTACTGGCAGTTGGTTGGTCGCTTTCTTACCGACCGGAACATTATATTCGACGTGATGAGACAGGTGATGGCGTCTGTTTGGAGGCCTTTAATGGGGATTCAAGTTGCAGAGATTCAACCGAATCTTTATCTGGTTACTTTCTACCATGATACAGATTTGGCGTATGTATTGGAGAATGGCCCGTGGGCGTTTGAGAATGCTACTTTGATATGTCAACCACTACGCCCAGGTGAACATCCTTCCCAAGTGATGCTGAATACAATTGATTTCTGGGTTCAGGTGCACGACTTACTTGTCGGGTATCGAACGGACAAAGTGTTGGAGAAAGCCGGGGACTTTCTAGGGCTGTTTGTGGGGCTAGATGAGAGGAATTTTGTGAGGCCGTGGTCGAAGTTTTATAGAGTCAAGGTTACGGTGGAGGTTTCGGCTCCGCTTAAGAAGCGCATGAAGATGATATTGGGTGACAATTCTTAGACATGGGTAAATTTTTGTTACGAATGTTTACATATGTTCTGTTTCTTTTGTGGGAAGTTAGGGCATACGGATAAGTTTTGCATGGATACCCGTATGTCCGGTTTGAAGCCGGTGCAGTACCCGTTTGGGTTAAGTTTGAAGGCTGGGGGCAATCCTCCGGCGAAGGCGGTTGGGGAAAATTGGTTACAGAAAGGGGAAAGGATGCATCGCGATTTGGGTATCGGCAGTGTGGCTGATTTTCCAATTCGTGGCGTGAGACCGCAGCTGGGGCAGGTGGTAGGCGGGATGCCGTTATTTATTGGGTTGCGCCAGTTCCGTCCGGGAATGAGGGGTAATGGTGGTGGTATGTTCAGTTCGGCTAATGCCGAGGCTGGGGATGCTGTTCGGGTGGAAGAGGATGAAGGCGTGTGTATGGACCCGAAGCGGAGAAGGGGGGGAAATGGTGAAGTGGCGGGTAGAATGGTGGCAGGAGAGGGGTTAATGCTTGTGGATTCTTCTTGTTTGGCGGGACCTGTTAACCAGGC